CCCCTCCCCCTCCTCCTCCTCCAGTCTTACAATGTAGCCCTCACTGACCTAGAATTCACTATGTGGTCCAGGTTGGCCCTGAACTCACAGAGATCTACTTGCCTCTGCCTTCCCCCCTCCAGGTGCTGAGATCAAATACATGAGCCATCATGCTCAGCTAGAGAGATTTTCTTTTTTAATTTCATTTTTTAAAATTTATTATTTTTATCTTATGAGTGTTTTGCTTGTACATACATGTAAGTGCACCCATACATGCAGTATTAGGAATGGCCTGAAGAGGGAATCAGATCCTCTGGAACTGGAGTTACAATCAGTCCTGAGCTACTATGTAAGTGCTGGGAATCAAACCCAGGTCCTCTGGCAAGAGCAGTAAGCACTCTTACCAGAGAGCTATCTCTCCATCCCCTAGAGTGATTTTCTATGCATCCATTTCTCTGGGACGTTTATAATCTGCTTGAGGGCAGGGATGTCGCTTGACCACTTTGGTGTCTTCTGGATGTGTCTTGTGTTCACAGTTAATCTTCTTTGATTGCCTCCATCTTCTCTCCGTATGTGTCAGGCACCAAAATTTATTGGGAAAGATCTAAAAATAACACAGTACTTTATGTGGGAAATTAGAGATAAGTACAGGGTTTCTGTGGAACCAAATAGGCTTGACTTAGCCAGTGAGGACCAGTGAAGACTGGCAGAGGAGAGAGGTGGAGATACTGTAAGCAGAGTGGCATCTATAAAGTTTGGTGACACAAAGAAAACTGGAGTAGGAGAAAGAGAGGAGAGAGGAACAGAAGATTTGTGCTACTATAAGGACTTTAATTGACTAAGGAAAATTTCACCTACACTGTGATGCTAATGGAGGGCCTGGGGTAGGTATGCTAGAGCTCTAGAGCCAGCCTGCCTGGGTGGCCCAAGTCTCAGCTCTGTTACTTACTAGCTATATACCTGATCAAATTACTTAACCTCTTGAGCCTCAGATCCTCATTTGTTAATTGGACAACAACATCACCTACCTTTGGGGACTTGTGATAATTAAAAGGCTTAATACTAATAAAAACAGAGCAGGGCTTGCCATGTAGTATGTACCCAATAAGGAGTAGCTATTATTTAACCCCACTGTTCTCTCTCTCATTTCCACTTTTATTGCATTCCACGCAGGCCTTACCAATTACACTCTAAGACAAATATGTAAACCATCCATTTCTGTTTCCACAATCTCAACCTGTTTCAGAGAACTATGACTTCTTTATTGGATTCCTTCAATAGCCCCTTAAGTGGTCTTCCTGCTTCCAGTCTTGGTCTGCCATAGTGTAATCCACAGAACAGCCAGAGTAATGGGTTTCAAATGCATAACAGATGCTGTTTACTTTAAAAATCTATTGACATAAATCAATCATTCAGCATTCTCCTTACTATGATCTAAAAGATCCTAAGTAATCTGGTTCCCTTTTACCTAACCCCTCCATCATAATCCCCTCCTTCTCACCGTGTTTCAGCCTCTACCTGCCTGAAACTCAAGTTTTTCTTGCTAGGACCTTTGCATCTGCAGGTCCTTTAGCATCCTGTTTCGTATTTTTTTCCTTGTCTTACAGAACCCAGCTCAAATATCAAAGGGGTTGAGTTTAGTTTGAGACAATGAAATAAAATAATGAAGTCACTGCCTTTTATTATGCTACTCTGGGAAATTAATTTCTTTTTATTTGTTCTTTTTGTTTTCTTTCATGCCCCACCCTCTGATGTCAGTTCCATAAGAACAGATGCATCAGTTGCATGCTTTATGACTGACTGTATTCTCAGGGCCTGTAATAGCAAACACCCTGCTCAACATAGTGTGCACTAGAATATTGCTTGAATTGATGTTGAATGACTTGCAAAAAGGAAATAAGGTATGCAAAAGTTAAGGCATCTGAGGCCAAGTAGGGTTTTTGTTTGTTTGCTTTAGTTTGGTTTGGCTTGGTTTGTACATTAGTCCAATGAGAAATAATGAGGTTGTGGCACTGGTTTCTAATCCCGATTGTTCAGTGACTCACTGGAGTTTAAAATATGTACAGTACAGGTGGTACCTTGCACCATCATCAGAGATTCTGGTTCAATTGGTGGGTGCAGCCTGGGCACCTGTATTTTTAGAAGTTCTTCAGGGAGCAGCCAAACTTGAAGTCATTGACTTAAGGCAAAGGGGATACAGAAGAGAGAACAGACATATATTCAGAGGGTGCAATAAATAGGACTTAGAGAAAGTCACAGAACAAAGAGTGCCTGGGAAGAACCCTAGATTTCTTTCTGGGATTCATGAGGAAGCAAGTTAGTTGTTGTTGTTTAAAGATAAATCCCATTCTGATCTCAGACAGACTTCAGCTCTAGGCACCTTCATGGATTCAAGTGATGTCCAATAGACGTTTTCCCAGTTGGCCTAGTGAAGAGTAGAAAACCCTTCTAATTTCCAGGAAGACAGGCAAAGAAACAGAATCTCTGGGAACTATGTGCTGGATAGCTTTAGTTGTCAACTTGATATACCTGGATAGAAGGAGCCTCAGTTGGGGAATTGCCTCCATTAGACTGGCCTGTGGCCATGTCTGTGGGTATTTTCTTGATTTTCAAGTGTTGTAGGAGGGCCCAGCCCACTGTGGGCAGTGCCACCCCTGGGCAGGTTGTTCTGTATTGTGTAAGAAAGCAGACTGAGCACTGGCCAAGGGAGCAAGTCAGCATTCCTCCATGGCCTGTGCTCTAGCTCCTGCCTCCAGGTTCCTGCCCTGAGTTCCTATTTGGGCTACCTGATGAACGACCTGGGAGATGTAAGCCGAATAAACTCTTTCTTCCCCACACTGGTATTGGTCAAAGTGTTTTGTCACAGCAATGAAAGGCAAACTGGAACAACAACTATACATAGTACAAGATCATTATTGTTTAGCACAACTTCCTTACTCAAAAACCTCTTCCAAACTACTGCTCCATCTGTCCTGCCATGCTGGGCCTGTTATTTTCAGGAAGGATTATGTGTGACTACTAGGCCATAAACCTATTTAACTTACTATTCTTATCCTATTTGTAGTCTTAAGTCCTATAGATCATATTGCATGCAGACTTCAGGTAGCATTTAAAGGTGTGTATAAAACAGCTTTCAAACTTCCAATAAACAAAAACAATCATATCCATAATTACTTTCTTTAAGATGGTCAAATAGATTTAGTCCTAAACTGCCTAGCTTGTTTCTTATTGGAAAACATTTGCTGGGTTACCAAAGATACCAAGTGTAGCTTGAAAAGATAGGGCTCCATGGTTTGTTTCTAATTTAAATTAGATGCACTAAAATAAGATTGAAAGGGTGATATATTTAGATAAGTAACAGATGGCGATGGACATTTTGTCAGGCATCTGTAACACTCATTTCTCAGTAGCCCAAGGAAATTATCTAAATCCTGGAGAGAGAAACTAGGAAGGAACAAATCAGAATGGGAAAGGATGTTTGTTCAAGTGAGAATTTATACCAATCCTTGTGTAGGTGAAAACAGTCAAAGGGTGGTGTGACTGGCTTAAAAGATGTAAGAGAATGGAATAGAGACGGCTGGAGTAAAGTAATTTAGAATTTATCAGTGACCCATAAGGGCTGAGGGATACGGGTTTCTTTTAGGACAGAGAGCAGCAGGACAACCCAACATCCCGGCTCTGCTATCCCAAGAACTGCCAATCAAGCAGGTGAATCCCGAGAACACAAAGGGATGAAAAGCTTAGTCAGGGTCCTCCCGCCCAGCGCCGGGTCCTTAGGGGCGCGCTCCAGACGCCGACACCTCTCACTCGGAGCCGTGAGAAGGGACGACACCCGCTCCACTGCCTAGGGGGCTTGAAGCGAAGCAAGTTGACAGACAAGCAGAGAGGGCGCGCGGGCCGAACGTGCGCTAGGGAACGAAAGACCGTGTCCCAGAAACGCCCACGGCGGGGGAGGCGGGGGCGTGACGCCATGACGCAAGGCGTACGGTGGGCGGAGCCTCGCTGGGCGGGGCGAGAGTGGGAGGCGGGGGCGGGGCGAGCGGGCGAGGGCGGGGGAGAATGGCAGTTGCGCCGCTGGTCCTAGACCGCGGCGGTCCGGCCAGAACTGCGGAGGAGTTCGGCGAAGGGGCCGCCTGGACCCCTTGCCCCCGCTGAGAAGGTTCCGCAGCGAGGGGCCGACCTCCGTCCTTCCTCTGGCTTGTACCCCTCTGCGGCCGCGGGATGGGCCTGCCTGCCCGCCGCCCCGCGCCGCCGCCACCCTGAGGAGGTGAAGGTAAGGCGGGCGCCCGAGCCTCGGGCCAGGGGCGGCTCCCGTGTACGAGCCGCGGCGCTCAGTGTGCGGCCGGCCTGGGGCTCGGGCCTCCGGCTAGGGCGAGGTGTCCTGGCCGGTCGGGGTGTGGAATCCCGGGCGGCGCCCGTACAGTGTTGTGACTATCCGCGGCGCTCCTCGGAGCGTCCCACACAGCCAAGCGGGCGAGACCCGGGGGCGGCCGCGGCTGGGAGGCGGCGGGGGCGGAGCGCATTCCTGACGGGTGAAATCGGCGCTAACGGGACGGTTTCCGGGCCTCTCGGCCGGGGACTTCGGCCCCGAAGCCTGTCGCCGGCGGCTCTGGAACAGGAGAGCCCTGGACCCGGGAGGGAACGGGGACAATCACCTGGTTTCCCGGCGGAGACCGCGCACTCGCGCTGAGAACGCCCTGGCTGGGTGGAGTGTGTTAATGGACCGCTACACCGCTAGCAGATTGCCGGCGTTTTCTCCGAGCTGTGTTTCTCTCTGCCGTTGCTCTCTTTTCCATTTCCAGTAATGGGAAGTAGTTGTTTAGGATTCATTAATCCCGAGACAAGGACAGCGAATAAAGAGGGAAGAGGATGGTTACAAGCTCTATATGGGAGGAAAAAAAGGTTTAGTTTTTGTTCAGTGGCCCCTTGGAGGCAGAAATACATGAAGCCAGCCTGCCTTTAAGATTTACTATTCAAAATGTTCCAGTGTTGGTAGTGTTAAAGGACGGCCTTTAAACGCTTCAGCACTGTTCAGACCTAGGTGTTGACCAAAAATGTTAGCAAGCAACCAAGGCATTAAAGCAGTCTTTCCTTGGTGGTGTCAAAATATTTGTAATCGTTCCCCATTCTACTTTTTTTTCGTAAGAAGATGCCTTTTTGGTTTTTGTTCTCTTATTTTAACTTGGATTCATTGACCCTTTTTGTTGCGTGTTGTGTGTGGGGGGTTAAACTTCAGTGGTTTTTTTTTTTTTTCAGTTTTGCTATTAACCGCTCTTAGTGCACATCTTAGCCGCTTCTGTTTATAATTCAAGTCGTTACCATATTTGCCTGCTTAAGTTTAACACTGAGCTGCCCGCACTGACTTACAATGTAAATATTTAGAAAATGGCGATGACCTTATTTTCAAATGTTCTTTCCTTGATACATACAATTTCATGGGAAAGGGTTTAATATTAAGTTTTGGGGCTTACGAAAACGAATTATTCAAAAACAAACAAATCCTTTTTTTGGTTAATGTCTTGTTTCTTGTTGCTCTTTAAAAATTTCTGTGTACAATGTAAGGTTAAATATCATGTGACTTTAGAAAATATTTTAATGTCATTACAGGGTGTCTAAGGAAAAAAAGTTACATTTGGCAGCTAACCTGAGTGGTTTTTTTTTTTTTCTCAATATCAGGGTTCTTACTGGAGGACCCTAGTAAGATTAATTTTTTTTTAATTGTAAGATAATTTTAGGAGTTGAAACACATCTTGTTTACTGTCTAGCTAGCTGCCTGAAATGACATCTAGGAGGTGTCTCAGTTGCACATTAGATTTAATATAAAGTAGTGTACATTTTATTGTTAGACTTTAATTTTGAATATTTGTGGCAATTTGTTGAATTTTTGGTGCCTTTTTTATCTAGTGAAATTAGACTACCATGTTATTTTCTAAGTGCTTTTAAAGGTACTTAAGCACTGTTAGTAAAAAGTCACTGGTGTTGCCATATCTGGCACCAGGTAGGTAGTCACAAAGCAGTATTTTCACAGTGGTGAATGTTAAATGAGACCCCCTCCCCATTTGAAAGGATCTTACGTATTTTCATGGCAAGTTCTGATTTTTCCTAAACACTAAAATTTATTACAGAATTCTTTGGTTTCTAGTCATCCCTTACCCCTGCACACATAGACTGCCTGATTCCCTTACCCCCTACACACATAGAGATTCCCTGATTCTTCCCTGATTCCTTGTGTTGGCGCCTACTTGTAATTTAGCTGCTCTGGAGAGTGAGGTGGGAAAATTGTGAAGGTGAAAATTGGGGTCATTTACTTGATCCCATCACCAAAAAGGAAATTTTTTTTTTTTTTTTTAATCTGGAGGGCACTGAGGGTTGAGAAGTGTTTCTTGAAGTATTCAAGACAAAATACTTGTGCTAACTTATAAAAGTCCCTAATCAAATGCTTGGTACAAAGTAAGCTGGTAATAAATTTGGGTAACTTAAATCAGAATCATTCATTTGTATCTTTTTTACCCGGGTAATATAGAAAGTTTTGGAGAATTGTTCCTTGTTTTCCTGATGGTACTAATAGGTGACAATTATCAAATGCAGGTTGGTTCTTACTAAGTGTATTCTCTTTTGTCAATTATTGTTGATTCAGATAAAAACTTGAGCATCTTGGGCTAAAAGCCAAAGTAAAGTTGAATTTCTAAATGACTATTTGCATATTACATTTCATTTGTCAAGCTGGTGTTCATAACAGAGTATTAGCTTAATAGCTACCTGAGAGGACCATAGCCATATAGGTAGTAGGTTGGCCAGAAAGAAGCCTTTAGTTTGACTCCTATTTAGTAAAATGTTGATCTGATTACTTATGGAGAGTAACAATTTTACATACTTAGGCAATTTTTTTCCTCCAACCAGGAAAATTTTTTCTTTCTTCGCTCTCTTTTTTTAAAGTCATGAAATGCCAATTCTTTGCTAGCTGACAGAAGATGCATGACATTGAAACAACACATGAGTAAGCACACAGACTGCGGCCAGAAAGGTACTCAAATCATTTTAGGTGTTTAAAACTTGGGTACTTCGTTTGTCTGTAGCTGCCATATGTCAGTGAAACTTGGTGTAGGAAAGTGAGAAAAACAAAACAACCACATTTTGATAAAAATGTATCTTCAAAATAATTTGCTATATTGCTTTCCTTGCTGCTGTCCATTATATCTGAAGAATTACTGTTAACATTATTTTCAAAGCTATGTCACTACCTTAAAGCTACTATGTTCTGTTGTTCTATTGACATTATCTAGAAGTTTAGTTTATTGTTTCTTGGATTCTTCAGATAAGGTCTCCTGTAGTCCAGGCTGGCCTCAAAGGAATTTACATTGCAGTGAGGATGACCTTGACCTTGAACTCCTGATCCTTGATCCTCTTTCCATTACCTTCCAGTGCTGGGATTCTAGACCCACTACCATGCCCAGCTACTATTTTTAAGTCATTTACCAAAAAAAATGACTAGTTATTGATTTGTTTAGAAGTCCTATCTGAGAAGGCTTTATTAAGTGAGAGTCTCAAATAGAGAACTGGTGAGTTGTGTTTAGCTCAAAAATGAGTTTGCCTTTGGTTTTTTGTTTGTTGCTTGGTTTTCCCCCCTCCTACCTTAGGGTCTCGTTGTGTAGCCTTGGCTAGCTTGGAACTCACTATGTAGACCAGGCTGATCTGGAACTCATAGCAGTCTACCTGTCTCTGCCTCTCCAGAGCTGGGACTAAAGGTGTGCACCACCATACAGGATTGTGCGTTGAAGTTTAAAGCACATTTTTTACTCCATCCTACTCTGGAGACCCCTAAGATTAAAAACAGCTCTGTTGTCCTGTGAATAGCTAAGCAGGTTGCCATTTAAGTAAGAACTTTTCTGGACGTGAGTCATAAGGAGCATACTTGTGAGAGGGTGAAGGAGTTGGAAGCCAGGACAAGCTATCTGGTAGTGTTAACTTTCTGAACGTCCAATGCTGGCATACACTTTTAATCCCAGCATTTAAGAGGCAGAAGCAGGTATGAGTTCCAGGCCAGCCTGAGCTACATAGAGGGTTCTAGGCTAGCCACAGCTACATAGTGAGACCTTGTCTCAAACAAAAAACTTCTGGATGAGTATTATAATAAAAAAATACTATATCATAAAACAAATGGTGTTTATTTTGAAATTATAGATTTATATTCGGTAATTTAAAATTTTTTTTATTTTGTTTTTTATTTTGTGTGTGAGTGTATTGCTTACATGTGTGTAAGTGCACCCATGTCATGCAGTGCCCACAGAGGTTGGAGGAGGGCATTGGATCCCCTGGAACTGGAGTTACACATGATTGTTAGCCTCCATGTGGGTGCTGGGAATCAAACCTGGGTCCTCTGCAAGAGCAGCCAGTGTTCTTTTTATTTTATTTTTATTTTTTTATTTTATTTTATGTGTCTGAGTGTATTGCCTGCATGCATGTAAGTGCACTCATGTCGTGCAATGCCCAAGGTGGTCCAAGGTGGGCATCAGATCCTCTGGAACTGGTTATGAACAGTTGTTAGCTGCCATGTGGGTACTGGGAACCAAAACCAGGACCTCTGCAAGAGCAGTGCTCTTAACTACTGAGCCATCTCTCCAGCTCTATAGTTGGTAATTTCTAAATCAAGTGTTGTCATTTGACCCCAGAAGGGTAGATTAGTATGTATGATCACAAATGAGAGCTTATAGGAGATAGTGCAAGCTTTGCAGGGTCAGTTCTCTTTGTTCACTTGTAAGGGCCAAGCATATAACATAAACCTGATGCAACATGAAATGAAGTACTTTCAGGTGTTGAATAAGTATTTGCTAGCTGAATAAAATACCTGTAATGTAAGACAGCTATTTTTAAAATTATTTATTTATTTTCAGGCAGTGTCTCATGTAGCCCAGGCTGGCTTGAATTCCTGATCTTTCTGCCTTCACTTTTCAAGTACTGGCATTATAGTATAGGCATGCCTCACCACACCTGGTTTATATGGTGCTTGGGATTGAACTCTGGGCCTTGTGTATACTAGACAAGCACGCTACCAACTGAGTTACATCCCCAGCCCCAGCCAGCTATTTCATAACTTTCTTTATAGCAGTGCTGCTAAATAGAAATATAGTGGGAGCCACAAATGTAATTTGAGATTTTTCTGGTGTTATATTAAGAAATTAAGAAATAGGCATTGTTAATTTTCATAGTATATTTTATTTAGCCCAATATACCCCAAATATCATTTCAGCATCATCAATGAATGACCACATTTTA